TGACAGCTGTCTGTTGCTGACTAGCTTTTTTCTTGAGGAAATTTTAGACAGCTGCATCTGGTAGTGATGTTTTAGAGGAAAAACAATTGTGTTGTCCATGTTTTTTTAAAAAAGCAATAATAAAAAAAACAACTTTCTTGCAAAAAACATGAGGAGCTCAAATGACTTTCTAGTTTGGAACTCCAATAATGGAATTGTTGTTGTGCAGGAGATTGGTTTCTGGTTGTTCCATGAAAAACTAAATTAAATTCAGCATGCTTAAAGCCTCTGGAAAATTTCCATGACACACAAGGATTTGCCGACTAAAATCTCTGATGCTTCTGACAGGGTGGAGCAGATATGTCCTTCCCTTCAGAGCTCCAATGTTCTTACTAGGGTTGCCAATCTTGTGCTCATCTTGTACAGGTGAACTGGAGACTGACTATTGCCTTTAGACCGGGGCTGATAAAGATCTGTACCTTCTCTGAGCCAGATCGTGTTTGTGCAAACTACTAAAACTAGTTTTACTAACACTGTTCTGTTAGAGCACAAGCTTGGGAAATTACCTGATATTCCCTCAAAAATCACCTCGTGTACGCTGATTGAATTGCACAGGTATTCTTCTCAGAAGAAAGATGTAAAATCCTTCAGTTTTGGGGCAGTGGAGGCGAGTGGTTGATTGTTGTTTGTTTTTAATGTTGAAAATATCTAAGATAATATCTCAAGATTTGTGCAATTTACATTTTTTTTAAACTGAGGAAAACTGTGACTTCCATAAGGATTTCATCCTTAAGTGTGGACACTGCTAAAATTCCTCATATCCTTAAATTAAAAGAAGGAGAGAAGTGAAAGGCTAGAAAAGGGGGTCTGGAAGGAATCTTCTGCATTTTTAAGCTCCCAGGAAGTTAATGTGCAGGTCATATTTTGTCACCAGGAAAATCACGATCAGCTCATTTTTTAACCAAGGTAGTTTTTAACAGACACAGTAATGATATGAGAGGGTCTGTAGTCCTTGCTCCTGATAAGTACTAGTGTATTAGTTCACCCAAATTTCTCTTTTACTCGCAAAAAAGAATTGTGGTATTTCCCTTAAACATTGTTGCATCGCTTCGCTCCAGCTTTCTCTCGCCCAGTCTATATGACATCCTTCCACCAGCATAGCTGGTGGGTGGGCTCCCAGCTAGAGATGGTGTCTACAGCTATGCAGAGCTATTTGTTGAAGATCACAACTTTACTGGTCTAATAACCCATGCTGGTGTTCGATCTGATTGCTTTCAGCAGAGCATGGATTCCACCGGAAAGGAAAGACAGTAACATTTAAATAATAAATACTACTTCCTTCCTCCTCCCCCATTTTTTTAAACTGTTCTCTGTAGCCATTGAAAGTTTGAACTATCAGTGATGTTTTTAGATAATTTATTAAAACATCTATCCCCCTCTTTTTTTTCTTCCTTTGTATATGTGTGTGGAAACTACAGCTGAGGAAGTGGAAAGACTGGCTGCAATGCGTTCGGATTCCCTAGTTCCTGGAACTCATACACCTCCAATCAGAAGAAGAAGCAAATTTGCTACCCTTGGAAGGCTTTTTAAGCCATGGAAATGGAGGAAGAAGAAGAGTGAAAAATTTAAGCACACTTCTGCAGGTAACAGGCACAGTCGGGGTGGTTCGCATATCTTACGACAAGTCAATGCAATCAGGAACTCCAGCTCCAACTTGCATGTGCTTTTAAGATTGCTGTAACCTGGGTGGCAGGGATGCATCAGATTCTAAAAGGTCTTTAATTTTGTTACCAGCTGCTTCCTAAAAAGTTTTCTGTGTGCTAAACCTAAAGAAGCAGCTTGCCAAAGCCACATTTTCAGGGCCTGAGACTAGAATGAGGCAACAACCCAGAAAAAAATGTGAAATAGATTTAGCAGATTAGTAAAGGAAATGGAAGGATAAAAGGACAGAGCCAGTGGAAGAGGTAGCCGCATTCAAGGTCTTTAAGTGTTAATAGGGGACCAAGAAAAATATGTAACAAAAGAGTTGATATTTTGCCTAGTAACTTGCATAACCATAAATAATCTGTTCCATTGGAGAGTAATGATGCGTCATTAGTTTTCTGAGTAAAACCAAATTTCTGTCCTTCCTCTGCCCTGTTTCTGTTTAACACTTTTAGCTTAAGACTTGAAAAAGAGAAAAGGAAAGGAAAGGAAAACCAAAAAAGCCTTTTTTAAAAAAAAATATTATAAATTATTCTGAGCCAGAATCCCAGACACAGGCACTCATTTACTTGGCAGGTTTATACCTCTTTTTTTTTTTTTTTTTTTGTGTGTATGTGTGTGTGGTGTGTGTGTGTGTGTGTGTGTGTGTGTGTGTTCGTGGTTTGGGGCTTTTTTGTGGGGAGGGGGGCAGATTTTTCTTTATTTGGAATGCCTTTTTTTCTGTGTTCCTCAATGGTGACTAACAATTAGAGTATGTGTTTCTGACAATCCTGAGCCCAGATTGACTGTGAGAACACATGAGTTTTCTTCTAATTTTCTGATTTCTAATTGTTCTTGCTAGGCTAGAAACAAAGCACTGCAGATTTTGCATCTTTAAGTGCCAGCAGAAGCGAAGGATACAACCAAGTTGCTCTGTGCCCTGCTTATTGCACAGTGGAAGCTTTTAGGGAGGACTTGCATTTACCTTCTGACACCCAACATCTGTTCTGTTTAAATGACCCATAATCATGCAAGAAGCCTCATTTAGCTAAGTGCAAATTCTTGCATGAGCTTGTGGTTGAAAGCAGAAATAAGAGTTTTCAGTTTCCATACCTAGAGGCATTCTTTACTCTATGGTGTAAAGCTGCTCCCCAATTTGTCAGGCAACGCCTAACACATTGAAATAGCTGGCTGTATTACTCTGAGTGATGATCTCATTTGTTGGCTTGACATTGGAGAAGCTATTGTCACCAAAATGACATGTTCCAGCAAAACAAATGCCTTGTCATTCAATGTTCTGTATCAATCAAAACTGATATAGTGCAGCATTTCTGTGAAAATCATACAGCTCTTAGGCACTTCTGGATATGTGGGCACTAGTGGCACAACCATATGCCACTATGGTGGCAACTAGTATGAGGATAGTTTAGGTGTTTTGGGTTGGTTACACCTAGTAGCATAACCATGGCAGTGCAGGACTTGGGGACTGGAGCATCTCTCCTATGAGACTGAGAGACGGGACTGTCCAGCCTAAAGAAGAGAAAGTTGAGCGGGGATCTTATCAGTGTGGATAAATACCTTAAGGGAGGGTGTCAAAAGGATGGGGCCAGACTCTTTTCAGTGGTGGCCAGATATGGGACAAGAGGCAATGGCCACACACTGAAGCACAGGAAGGTCATGAAAATGAGGAAAAATTTCTTTACTGTGAGGGTGACAGAGCACTGGAACAGGCTGCCCAGACAGATTGTGGAGTCTCCTTCTCTGGAGATCTTCAAAACCCGCTTGGATGCCACCCTGTGCCACGTGCCCTAGGTGACCCTGCTGGAGCAGGGGGGTTGGACTAGATATCTCCAGAGGTCCCTTCCAACCTCAACCATTCTGTGATTCTGTGGCTTAGCATGGCAAAAGCCTCCCTACTATTTATTCGTATGGCCTTCCCCCCAATTACCAAAACATTTCAAAAGTACACAGTGAGTAAAACCAGAGTAAAAACATATTTTTCTCAGAGTAGAAGGAAGATTTACCAGAAAAGCCAGCATATCATCTCCTCCTCTGTAAAATGGACTTCTGTGCTTGGAGAACTGATTTAAAAACAGGGTCTCCAGTTTGCAGGAAATGTTTGTTGATTGCAGTTTGATCGGAGTTGAATCCAAAACCATTTTTTAAAAACTGTTCATTTCTCTAGTAAGCCAGCAGTATCCTGCAGCTGCTCTGCAAAATTGGTATTCTTGTCAGTTCCCCTGCTAATAGCTGCTGCAGAATTGACAAGGATGTCAAATGTGCTGAGGGCTCTGCAGGAACCACTGGGAGAGATGTGATCCTAGACTATATCAGAGTTAGGGACCCCACGGTTTCTATCATCCCACCCCATGGGAAGAGGCAGCCAGGAGCATCCTAGCAGCCCTGACACTGGAATTTCACGGTGTTAGTTGAAGCCAGGATGTGTTAAATAAAAGATTTTGCACCCATAAGAATGCCTTTTTTTCACCAGAATTTCCACAAACTGTAATCTAATACCTTCAGTTGCACTGAGAAAATTTCTTTAGTTTTTATAATAAATCAAAGGACAAACCTACAAGATGGTATAATGAAAGCCAGCATGAAACTTTCTAATACAGGCTTATTTTCTTCTAGTGGACTACTAAATCTGATGATTCAAAAAAACTCACATTAGCATCCTACAGGCATGAACCCAAGCTTTCCCACCTGCATTTCCTACTAATTATTAAAATCAAACACTCATATAAGTATTTTGTTAGCCTCTAATTTGTTGCAACAATGGATTCCAATTATTTTAAATGTCAAAAGTAACATCGTTGGGACCAAAAACCATGATCTTATCTGTTGAAACTTCCATTGAAATTAATGGGCCTTTTTTTTCTGGAAGAAGAGCAGAAGAGAGAGAGAGAGAGGCGGATACTTGAGGGTGAAAAGTTGTTTTTTTGCAGATTTTCAAGTGCTGACATCATGTATCCATCCATATCTTTACATATTAGACTAATAACTCTGTGTTAAGGATCATTTTTT